TGAGTACATGCAACCGATACCGCTGATTAAGAAACTGCTATAAAAATTCAGTAAAAAATTCTGAGCTTTCTATCCGAACAGCTGGCCAACCATACGGGTTTAAAAAAATGCTTAAGTAAGAGTTTTACAGCAATTGCAACACAATTTGGTCATATAAGTGCCAAAGATTAAGGGTGTTACAAGAGAGTGACAAACACAAAAAAAGGAGAAGAGATAAGGACAATAGATGTTTGATAGGATAAAAGGAGCAACCACATCAGAACACCGGTCAACCACCCACCGACCAGATGTGTTTTGTTTGTCCGGGTATGAGCATAAGAGCATCAGACTGTGAATGCTTATCATGTGTTAAGAGGGTGCACATGCGAGTGTGCATGCATATGTGTGGGCCCGTGACGGCGAGCTAGTGTGTGTTGCATGTGTGTTTATATGTGTTTGTATTGTTTACGTGTGTAAACCTGGAAACCCAAATGGGAGCATGTGCATTCTAACGCGTGAGTTATAGCTGGCCTTTTCTGAAATGTGAATGGCAAATAGACGGACATCTTCGAATTTCATCACTCACACCAGTGAAAGGAAGCCAGTGTACACATATCATTGCTGAACCGGCCATATACATATCATTGCTATCACAAGAAAAAAAGCTAATCTTAAACTTTTCTTATGATCAATCGTTTCAGGTACAAACCATGTAAGTCTGGAGATATACGTTACATGGGAGAAGGAAAAGACTGATTCCTCAAAACAAGTGGCAGAACATAGATGCTTCGATCACATGACTGTCTGGCACAGTTATAGTGGTGTGATGACTAGAATATAAATTGACATGGTATAAAATGGAGTTTCCAGGCTATTTAAAGAATAAAAAACATCAGAGGAAAATTCACAGTCAACTGATTTTTTGTTTGTTTTTTGGTCATTGCTTGGGGTTAACTCCCCTTTCAACCCGTTAAGTTTATCCAAGAGGCAGGACCTCCAAATTTAATGTCCATCTCTGATAAGACCCAGCCAAATGAGTGGAGAGCCTTAAATACTCCCCAAAATAACTCAAGTTCAGAACACCCCATCGGGAACTCAAACCACGGTCAAACACTCCATAGTCCAGCATGATACCAACTGACCTAAGGGTTGGCGCTCATATGACCTTCAGTTGCGAGTGCCATAAAACCTTTACTAAATAATAATGACCTAAGGGTGTGCCCGTTTTTTTGCTTGAGGTCATTGATATTCATATAAGAGTCTAAGAGCATGGATAACTATGATGTGTATGCCAGTACCATATCTAAGAGCATGGATAACTATGATGTGTATGCCAGTACCATATCTAAGAGCATGGATAACTATGATGTGTATGCCAGTACCATATCTAAGAGCATGGATAACTATGATGTGTATGCCAGTACCATGATGTGCCCAAAAAATATTTTTTTAAATGGACCAAACACGTCACATCCATGTACCTGGAGCTAGCGCCAGCTTGGACGGTGACTCGAGGATGATTTTCCCTTCAAAGTCAAAGCAGGGGAGCAAACTCTGCTCAAACAAGATGATGTTCTCCTTCTGAAGACCGAAGTAATCGTTCTTGATGAAGAAATTCTCCGTGGCCCCTTTGGTGTGTTCACTGGTCATGATGTACCTGGAGATTAGTTTACAACAGTTTTAGTAAGAGTTTTACAGTGCTTGCAACACAAATAAGTCATATTAAGTGCTGAAGATTAGAAGGTGTTATTACTTGAGAATAACATACAAAGAAAGAAAGGAAGACAAAAGGACAATACATTTTATTGTCGTTGTCATCTTCATTACTAAATTCCAAATAATTTTCCCTTCTCCGGTATTTTTTAAAGCTACCAATTATTGACATGCTGAAACATTTTCTATGTAACACACATTATTAAAATTCTCACATGACTGTGAGACATTAGACGCATGTTTGAGCATGAACCTGTGACCCCCCTCCGCACACACACGTATATGCACACACAGATTAACTCAAATATCTAGCTACAAATCAGGACACAGGACCTTTTTTAGTTTTAGTAAGTGTTTTACGGCACTTGCAACACAATAAGGTCATACAAGTGCCGAAGATTAGAGGTGTTACAAGAGAGTAACAAACACAAAAAAGAAGGAGGGGAGATGAAGACGATAGATGTTTGATAGGAAAGAAGAAGCAAATCACACCTAGGCACCCGCCAAGCACCTTAACACACAAGACCTAAGGAAAAAACAACAAAAAACCAAAAAAACCCATTAAAAAAGCAACAACTAAACAAAAAAATTTATGCGTCATTATTCGACTTACCAGGGCACGACGCAGCTCTTGCCCGTCACCTTCTCCCCCAGCTGCTGCAGCTTGACGATGCGCTCCGCCTGCAGTTGGTACAGCGTGCGGCCAGAGGGGAGGCCCACGTCGTACATGCCCTTAGGGTAGGGGACCCCCAGACGCGTGCCCTGACCCCCGGCCAGCAGCAGCACGGCCACCTCCGAGTTGCCGACCGACGTCAGACCTGGGGGAAGAGTTCAGGGAGTTTCACAATGATACTATTGTTGTAGTAAGAGTTTTACGGCATTTGCAAAGCGATAAGGTCAAATAAGTGCCGAAAATTACAGTTAAGCATAAGTACGTGTTTTACGGCACTTGCAACACAATTAGGTCATATAAGTGCCAAAGATTATAGAGGTGTTACAAGAGAGTAACAAACAAAAAAGAAGGAGGGGAGATAATGACGATAGATGTTTTTTTAGTTTTAGTAGAGGTTTTTCGGCGCTCGCAACTGCATAACGTCATATGAGCGCCAGAAGGCTAGAGGTGTTACAAGAGAGTAACAAACATAAAAAAGAAGAAGGGGAGATAAGGACGATAGATGTTTCATAGGAAAGAAGAAGCAAACAACACCAGATCACCCGCCAACAACCCAAAGATTTTTGCTTGTTTTAGTAAGTGTTTTACGTCACTTGCAACACAATAAGAGCACCCGCCCACCACCCAACGACTTAACTGATTAGATGTTCCAATGGAAGAAAGATCCACATCGAGTAAACCATTCAAAAATTTCCACTGATTTCCACTCAAATGTTCATATCAATTTCCAATTGAGGTTCACAGTGCGTTATTTCCACATATACACTATACACACATGGAACATACATGCAAAATTCACATACTGGGAATCTGTATAAACAAATATGTGCTCATTGCACACACACACATACACACACACATACACACACACATACACACACACAAGTACACAACAAATACCCCTATAGCGAAATCTACATGACACTTGCACCATCCCCCCCCACTCCCCTTGCTGTCTATACTTATCCAACAATTCATCACTGCTTCGTGTCACACTCCCGCAAACAGACGCATAAACACTCACACACTCGCACGCACACACACACACGACACATGCACACACACACCTTGTCTGTACTTCAACAACTCATCACTGCTACGTGCCACACTCTCACACACAGACACAGACACATAGACGCGCGCGCGCACACACACACACACACCTTGTTGTCTGTACTTCTCCAACAGTTCGTCACTGCTGCGTGCCACACTCCCACACACAGATGACTCTAGTGGCTCCAGGTGGTCGTCAATCTTCTCTGTGTCTTCTTTCATGGAGATTTCAGCTTCTTTGAAGTAACCCACTGCTTCCTGGTAAAATGTACAGAATAATATAAGTAGTATAAGTATAGTATTATAATATAACAATATAAGTTTTTTCTTAAGTTTTATTGAAGAAAAGCCAAGGGTAATGACACATAAAATTCATAGACTTAACATCTCGGCAACTAAGAACAAAATGAACAACTCATCCATGAGGGCCTAGAATGAAAGAGAGAAAAGGAGAACCATAACTGTCTATGTCTGCTCCAGGCAAAACCCTCGATTCAAATTTATTAACGCCAGGGCAGGATGGTCACCAATAAAAACAATAAGGAGGAGGCAAAAGCAGTTCTTAGGACAAATGAATCGACGTAAAGGCTTCGGACATCTTTTTGTAATGACTGTGAACAACCTAGGTGTCTCAGTCTTTCTGCTGGGATGTTATATCCCTCTTAGCTTGGGTTGGCAGGGTCTAAGCCCCCCTCCTATATAATCTTAATTGTGCCAGTGGTATCTTTAAACACATACATCATTAACCCTATCCGTACGCCCTGGGGTCATATTGTACCCCCAGGGTTGTATTCTTCACATTTTAGAATACTTCTAGTACGAAGATCTCTTCGAAACTTTCAGCATTTCTCAAAAAATCATTTTGACAGACTGCTATGCAAAGTGTACAGATTGGACCAACGAGTAAATTTCCTCTTGGAAAGTGGTGGCACAGAGTTCCCCACGTCGTATGGATACGATAGTAAAACACGACGTACGGATAGGGTTCAAAAAAGAAAAATTAACTGAGAATCAAAGTCACAATCTTTTCCCATCAAATTCTGAGCATCACTGCTGGACGAGCGGTACCCACCTGCAGGTCAAGGTGGGAGATCTCGGCGGCCAGGGACGTCTGCTGTTGTGTGTCCAGCTGATCCCAGAACTGTAGCAAGTGGCTCTGGCCGGCCGCCTCGCATGTCTGACGCAACTCTTCGATGTTCATGGCTGTTGGTGTTGTCTGTTGTGGGGAACTCGGGGGAATTCTTTCTGTTGATGAGGTTGTATGTGAGAAAAACGTTTCAGATTTTATGGACTTTGGGGTCAAAGAGAGTGTCTGGATGTATTGGTTAAAGGAAATTTGCATTCCCCCCCTCCCTTCCCTACTATCTTGATGTCCATAGCTGTGGGTGCTGTTTGCAGGGGGAACTTTGGGTGAACTCTAATTGTTGATGAAGGTTTCTGTGATCGTTTAAAAAAGAAGTAAGCTATTAATATATATATACAGAAAAACAGGATGGTCTTTTAAGTTTTAGTAAAAGTTTTACTGCACTTGGAACGCAAATATGTCTTACAAATGCTGAAGATTAGAGGTGTTACTAGAGAGTATCATACAAAAAAAAGAAGGAGACTAGAGCGTAACATACTAAGAAAAGAAGGAGAAGAGATAAGGACGATATATATATTTGACAGGAAAGAAGAAGCAAAGGAGCAAATTACACCAGGGCACCCACCAACCATCCACCTGGATAGTCGTCCAACGGTTCTAGACTCACCTCAGCACGCGTTTATCTCTGCTCAACTTGGAACTGCTTCTTTCCTCCTTAGTTGTGTGAGTTAGCCTGTGTCTCTGTGAGTTCTCACAAGCAGTTTATCCACTCACACCGCGTGACCTTCGACCTCTACACTATCGACTCAACCTGCCAAATACAAAGAAAGAAATAACGGTCAGTTTTACACATCATCATTACACATTCTCACATGACTGTGTGACATCAGACACACGTGCGTGAGCCTGTGGACCCC